CAAATACCATAAAAATCCCCCACATAGCCTCACATAGGCCCGGGTGGGGGGGGGGGGGGGGGGTCGGGTCGGGGTTTCAATTGATAAGTGCATAACTGGTTAGCCGATCTCTGCACCAGTATCGCAGAGGTCAGAATTCGAATCCCGGCAAGCCTGAAAATTTTCAGGCGTACTTTTCACTACCTCTTAAGTTTCGTGTATAACTGCGATGATCTTCTTTGCATCATAATTAATATCGCTTATTGTACTGTTTTCTAGATGTTCTTATCATGCTGTGGATCGCAGGTATGCTGTTTCAAGAAGCAAAAGAGGCCTATCGTCAAGGGAAAGAACGTTACGTATCGCAGTACTGGAATTTGCTCACCCTGTTCATGCTGGGTCTCTTTATAGCCTCAGGAGTCCTGTGGCTCTCTGGATTTTTTCTGACTGTATCAGGGAAGAAAACCTGGGTAGTATCAGTAAGTGATATGTTCGGTACCAGCTCTCAGGAGATCGCTTATCGCTTAATCCTCCTGTCGAATGCGTTTTTTTCCTTCGGTATGGTTTTGGCGTTTGTTTCTTTCTCCGACGCGTTCCAAGTGAATTCGGTATTAGGTCCGCTGCAGCTCTCGCTTGTTAAGATGGTTCGAGACGTCGCCAAATTTCTGTTTCTGTTCCTGTTGTTGTTTCTTGCATTTGGTTGGGCGGAGAGAAAGGTGTATTCGCATTATGTCCAAGCCAGGGAAGCCTTCGTGGGAAATGCAACTGAACATGAATTTGCGAGGTGAGTGTCTAATTAAAACTTTGTATAAAAAGCGTACACATCAGTAGCAGCATTCCCAAGGCTATTCTCACACTACAGGGCTCGCGAAGGAGTTACCAAAAACATAGCGCTGAGGGGATTAAAGTTTTTAGTACTGGGAAATGCCATTAAATGGCCGCTAAAATTGCCTCTTAAAGTCGGACAAAAGGGTAAAAAAAATCCGCTTAACAGACATTCACGAAGCAATTTTTTTTTGGCCTGACAATAGAGGCTCTTTTTTCTCAAAATGAACTCGCGTACCAACTATAAGTTGCTTCTGCTCGCTGGATCATTGTTCGAATAAAAGACCTCGCGGTGAAATGAAATGTAGAGATCCCAGCACTGATGTGATCCATTTTGAGCTTTTTTATCACCTGGTGCGCAGGAGCCAGTTCAATCCTCAAACAATATTTGTTTAGTTTAGGCAGCTGAAAAAAAATATGCAGTGGAACCTCGATATAACGAAGGGCTAAGGGACTGGCAAAATTTGTTCGCTATATCGAGGTTCTTTTTCATGTATTTTACTATTGCTGGGGTAAAGAAAATCGTTCGTTATACCGAGGTCTTCGTTATATAGAGGTTCGTTATATCGAGGTTCCACTGTATTTTGGGCATTCATCTAAAAAAGATAATCATCCCGGCCTTCTTCCACAGCAAGGCTTTTATACTTCTTTACAAATTTAAGACGAGCTGGGCGTTACTTGGCGGACTAAGCAGAGGATTTTTTACCATCTCAGGGGCCTCTAATTTTAAACTGGTTTTCATGACCTTTTCTGGATTTGGCTTGCTAACTATGTGAGAACTTTCTCGTCGAGTCTCCCATTTTGTATCTATCCTTCTTTAAAACTATTTTAGCTGCTTTATTCGGGACATCCCCCTCGTTTCTTGCCTTCAAAACCTTCATTTCTCCATCATCATTTTACCACCCAACATTCAGATTTGTCCAGTTTTTTTAGCAGTTTCTACTACAGAGAAGCCAGTAAATCGAAGTATCATGCTTAGGCTCTCGCTTAGCTGAACGTTTGTGCGTTAAGGGGGTTTATCTTTCGTGATATTCACAAAAAACAAGGAAGGAGTTCGAGCAATTCAGGCTATAAAATACCAAAAAAATGTGGCTGGAAAATATACTCGCGTACGCGCACCTGTGGCGCGGAAGTAAACATATCGAATATTCGAGTCAAAAGATGGCACAACAATTATGAAAATAGTGAATTAGATTGAAAGAGACAACTTTTGTTTCAATGATTTGCTTTCCAAGTCCAATCGTACTGAAATACAGACTTATAAAGTAGAGGAACGAACTTTTGGGACACCCTGTAATTTTTTTAATTAAGTTGCGAAAAGTACGAGCCGAAGCGAGAGCAGTTATTCTTTCTTTGACTTTTTTGGTCTTTCTCCTTGTATCACTTTTCTTTCAAGGAGGATGTGTACGTAATGATCAAGTTATCTGTATCATGCAGCCCTAAATTCTATCTCGAAGGTTCTTCATGATGTTGTATATATTTTAAACGTAAGATCAGGTTTAACACATCCTAAGTAGCTAAGTTGATGAACAAGGAATCTGCGCGGCTTGCTTCTATTGGAAAGCCTGAAGAGAGCGATAGGAAGTATTTTTTCAATAAATGGTTAATTACTTACGGGAACTAGCCAATGCAGATCGTGTAGTACAAGTTTTGACTGACAGTTCGATCCTTTTAGCATTGGAGGAAGCCTGAGGCTCTTATTTTGGGACTTGTTTGGAATGGCGGAGCTGGAACACCTTAAGACTGACGAGAAATTCGCCATCACACAGTTTACAGGTGAATTACTCCTCGGCCTGTACAGCATCGCATCAATTGTGGTTGCAATTAATATGCTGATTGCCATGATGACAAACTCCTATCAGCAAGTCGCGGTTAGTGAAGCATTTATTTTGTCAACACCCTAATTAATTGAACGATCGCGAGTGGGTGTGTCTCAGAGTTTACTTCGATAACCACTGGCTTAAAATAGTTCTAATCGTTGCAAAAGTCTCCAAAATAATCATTAAGACCAACAAGATATTAGCTTTCCAAGTATGTCTGAGATTTCTGCTTACTGAGAGTGTTGTTATGGACCATCCTCCACCAGTGCAAATTCCCCTGTGCTCCATTCTTGCCCCAGTTTCTTTGATTTCCTCCGATCAACTTGCACGCCTTCAATGACAAGGCCATCACTTTGTCAACATTACCTTTACCATCAGCTCTTTTCTTTTTGCTTAATAGATAATTAACGAATGGAGTGATCCAAAGGGGGGCCTGGGTGAACAATTCACGACCCCGCTTCACATAGAGAAACATTTATCATGATAACCGCCGCCTAGTTAGCTCAGTTGAGAGAGCGCCGGTCTGACGAGCGGGAGGTCGCGGGTTCAAAGGCCTGGCCGGACCAACACTCAGGGTCTTTAAATAACTGAGAAGAAAGTGCTACCTTCTCAATGACATCTGCAAATGGTTAGACTTTCTAGTCTTCTCGGATAAGGACGAAAAACCGTAGGTCCCGTCTCACAGCACTTTCACTGATTTTTTCTTGTGGGACGTAAAAGAACCCACATTACTATCCGAAGAGAGAAGGGGTCGTAGACCCTGGTTGTGTGGCCAACCTTTACGGGTTGTGGGATTGGGTAGGGATGGCACCTCGCATGGGACCTGAGTCCCGTTCGTACACATTCCCTCTGGGCAGGCCTGTGTCCAGAAAAGCTGGTAAATAAATAAATAATAGGATACTGCAGTTTCTCACATTATACTTTAGTAGCTGTCCCGGCGTGGGGGCCATTCATCACAGGTGTCCAGGTAAAATCTCGTAGCTCTGAAGTAAATGTTATCTTATGAAGCTCTCTATATACGAATAAGAAAAACTACCCCTGTCAATTTTCCGTTGTCAATATTTTCAAACCAGTTGTCGCACATTTGAGTTAAAGCCGAGACAGTCGAGTGAAAAGGGCGAAATCCGGATTGAAATTTTGAGAGAATAGAATTGTCCTTTAGATAACGATATAATTGATTAAAAACTTCTTTCTCATAAACTTTACTAATTATTGGCAAGATTGAAATCAATCTATAATTTCCTAAATCACGACGATCGTTATCTTTGTAAACCAGGTACGCACGCGCATTTTTCCATTCATTAACAAACATCCCAGAGGGAAGAGACAAATTAAATATGAAGGTTAAAGATGGTGCAATTACACTTCATGCAATTTTTAAGACCCTTGGCAGGGATCTTATCAAGACCGGTACTTTTCGACACTTTTAAGTTTTTTAACGTAAGAGCGACGCTTTCAACTGGAATTTTAGATAATCGAATGACTGGAGTATGATCCAGGTTGTTGGTATGTATTAACTTTGTTGGAAGACGTTTTCGTTGATTCGGCTGCCAAGTTTGGCCCTATGTTACAAAGAAATCATTAAATGATTCGGCAAAGTCATTATCGTCTGAAATAATTCTATCATTAATAAGGATATCCTTAACAAGAGTACTGTAGTATTGTTTCCCTTGCCTGTGAGTGAATTTATTGTTTTCCAACCCGTCTTAGGGTCTGTGGCTTATACACGCATAAATTTTTGTGGTGAGAGTAGTCTGATTTCGCTCTGCTTATCTCAGTATCTCGCTCAACAAAATTAAACGTAGTCATCAAAGAGTTGCACATCCGCACTGGGTGGTCTGTACCAGGTGCTAACTAGAAAATACCTGCGGCAATGAAGGATAATCTCTACAAGAGATCATTTCTGGAGACTCGGGCACTAAATAAATTCTGTTTGTGTATGACAGATTTTCCCTAATATAGAGAGCAGCACCACCAGCCGACCGATTGCATTCCTTGCGAATTATACTGTAGTCTGGAACATATACTTCAACTCAATCAGTTCGTTAAAACAAGTCAGATTCATAACTACAGAACAAGATCTGTCTCTAGCGACTCGTTTTATGTTAAGTTCTCTAGAACCGATAAAATGTATGCCTTTTTCACGAGAATCGGTGCCCAAATTTGGAATTCTATTCCTTATTCGATTAAAATACTTAAACGTTCGTCCTTTCGTAAAAAAATAAAGGAATTATTGCTAAATTTCTTCGGTCAGAAGATGATTATGTCGAAGTCTCCCGTCTTATTAAGTTATTTAATACTTTAGGTTAGCCTCTCTTCGTAATCGTTATGTACTTACCTTGTTTTATGTTAGTTTAAATTCTATTTACTGTATAGTAGTTTCTTCACTGTTATTTAGTCCATCTATATATAAATCTTGTTTTGTAATATGTCTTCAGCTCCCCCCGCCTCGATTAGCTTATAAGCTATTTGCGGGTGGGAAAGTAATGTAATTAGTTATTTTCCAATTTTTAATAAAATTTGTTGTTGTTCTTGTTGTTATCAGCAATAGTGCTATCTAGTTTTGATTCATTAATAGCTAGCACTTCCAAAGGGGAATTAGTTAAAATGTTGCGAATTTCATGTGTTTCCAAAGACTATTAACATTTAAGCAGGCAAGCTTAAGCTTGAACCCGTCACAGGATAACAATGGGCTCTCCGTTGATGATATTAGAGTTGTAAAAGTCAACTGTCTTTGCCTGTTACAGCAAGGGGCCCAAAGGTGTGACGTCCTTTAATTAATAGAAATTCTTTCATGAAGGCATTAACCAATCAGAAGTCGAGAACAGTTTCCAGCTGGCTTCTGATTGGATCAAACCTGCACGATAGAATGGGAATAAATTAAAAGCGGTCACACTTTTGGGCTCCTTGCTGTAAATGCCCTAAAACGAACTGGTTTTACAGCCCTCGGTAACTAATCTAGAATCCTGAACAGAAGTCCTTGGGACAGTGACGCTGTACTCGTATTTGTCTTTAATTTCTGGGTGCCCTCATAAAACAGTGCCACCTGTTGCAGTTCTCCATTCCCCGCACCATATACAAATTTGAAACTCGGGAAAATTCTGGATACACGCGTCGTATCTTGTCCGTGGGATTGGGGAGGAGCTGGGCACGTGTGATTCGAAGACAGCACCACAAATGACATTGTGTTCCAAGACTTTTGTTCATGATTGTCGGTAAACTGATCACAAAATCGGTGCCCAAATCTTAATTAGATCTTACGGGCTTTAAATTTTATGTTACTGTAGGATGACGCAGATATTCAGTGGAAATTCTCCAGAACCCGGATGTGGATGCCATATTTAGATCAAGGCAATGCAATGCCGCCTCCATTCAACCTCATTCCCCCTCCACACTTAGTGATTCAACTCTGCCGAAGACTGTGTAGAGGTGCTGGGTACTATCAGGTAAGTTTGCAGATCTGTTGTGTATCGTATGAAATTATGTGTATGAAATAAAGTATAGTGTGTGTGTGTGTGTGTGTGTATATTTCGTGGATCATCTGTCTAAATACTCTGCACAGTGCCATAGAACAATAATCTGACCAAAACACCTCAGTCAGATTTAAAACCATTGGAAGTAATGATGTTGCAATCAAGAAATGATGCACATCTAATTTGAGGCAAAGATCGTCTTGCCAGTGAGTTCTATGGCTGTTCATTTTGACTAGAACTAACTACGTACTTTGCATTTTTTATTTCTGAATTTCAGCATCAAAGCTTCCAAGGAAGAGATAGATCAGTAACTCCAAGTAAAGACAAGGTGGACTTAGACAAGGTAAATATACTACAGGTGTGTACTATCAAATCTCATACGCTCATACGTTGTCGTAATGGACCTTTTTGGGGAGAAAAATGATGCCTTAGTCTAGCTCGCTGCGTGTGGTCTGCAACCCGGAGGTTATGCGACACTGGTAAGACTGTGTATTTTGTAGGGAGCTTAAGCAAAGACTTTTTGACCGACGGATTTGAGGCCGGAAGTGAGGCCTTTTTAATTTTAAAAGGCCTAGCCTGCGAAAACATCCGTTTCTCCTCGCTCTTCGCCGTCGGGGACGTTTCGCGAGGAGGGACGTCTGCGACTCAACGGCAGAAATTCCGTACTGATGACGCAATCCTATGTTTACATAATAAATCCAGTAGCCATGGGATTCCAGACACAAATTTGTCCAATTTTACGTTTCTTCTGGTCGATTTTAGTAAAGTGTTGTGTTCATCTGCCAACGAGCTCCAGCAAAACTCAAATGCTTTCTTCTAGAGAAGACTATATTCTACAAATATTGACTGTTTTGTCAGAGATTCTTCTCGTTTACATTTGACCTTTGTGGCCTTTTGTCTTTTTTCTGTCATTCGTAAACAAGAGCTAAAACAGTGTAACTACTCCTCGACCAATCAGAGCTTCTGACCGGATTCTGGACAGATTTTACGTCATCAGTATGGAATTTCTGTCTCTGAGTCGCAGACGTTCCTCTCTGCGAAAACGGATGTTTTCGCAGGCTATAAAAGGCCTTGACGCTACCGTTTTTAGTTTTTTAGTGTCTTTACTCTTATAGAGACGATCTGCCCGAAAATGAATGCAAAAAGTCCACTTCCGGTTGACTTGCGTCGCTCAAAACGCCCACTAATCTAGTTGAATGGACTATATAACGAGAACTTTTCGCCAAATGAAAAGCACGTCCGTTTTGCGATGCCTTGCATTTTTCATTTTGTATATTTCTTTTCTGTAAGCTCTCTTTATAAAAAAATTTCAAATGTTCTGACTACTTCAAGGTTTGACCGACCGCGAAGACATGCATGGGTGATGTAGTTGATAGTAATATCCGCAGGGGTTTTATACTATTATACTTTAACCGTGAAAACCTTTCCCATAGATTTCGCAAGTTGCAGATTTCAATTGCTTAAGACGAATAAAACGTTCGAAACAAACAAATAAAAAAAAAGGCACAAGTTGGAGTTGTTTTTGTTTTAAGCGACCTGCTTCTCCTAGGCTTTGCTAAGTATCTCCATACCCGTGCTTTAAAACCAGAACAATGACATGCCTTATGACATATTTGCTAAAGTTTGAAGACTTTCACTCAGTTGACGACATTATGGATACCCTAACAGCCTTATATACAGCGTTTGTCAAAATAAAACGACAGCATTGGCAAATTACTAAGTTAGAGCTTTTTTATTTCTCCTATAGCGCCATAAAGTGATGACTCGTTTAATCCAGCGGTATCTCCTCACTGTTAACAAGTCAAAGTCCCAGTCCCACGCTGCTCCAGAGTTGGACGCGGTGAGTCTGGACGAGAACGGACAACTGAGGGGCTTGCTAACTCAACTGCAAGATTTTTTGAAGAAAAATAAGGATGGCAAAGATTCTTCTGTCACCCGCGTTTAGACAATTTTCCGAAGTACGAGTAAGCTAGGAAAGGGTTTCTGTTGTTGTTGTTGTTGTTTTTTTTTTTTACCATTCCATAAGATTTTCAGGGACACAGTTTCACCACTTGGCGTTTATTTTGGTGTTTCCTGATAGTCTGCAAATGGCTACCAAATCTCCCATGTGGGAAAATGTACCTAATGTTTAGTTGATATTTACCTAAAGGTGATTTTGGCTCAAATGAAATCGAATGTTTTGATCGATAGGAGACTTGGTAGTAAACTCAAACTTAAGGTAACAGTTAAGACCACGTGATTGGCACTAGGAAAATAAAGCAAAAGCCTTAGCGTTTGTTCCACAGCGGAACTGTGGTTTAGGTGAGAGAAAGTGTGTGGTTAAAACCACCGAGATTACCGAAAGTGTCTTGGATATAAACTCTTGAAGGCAGTTTCCAAAACAAGCTCCAAAAATAATTTTGGAAACACAGTTTTGAAATTGTCCTGAAAAGAATTAGTTTAGATACCTTATCAGTTAAAGGGTTAGCGTGTAATTAGGAATTTCAGACAAAAACTTTTAATTAGTTGCAAAGGTTATCCGCCAACTCACATCACTTGACTTGTTATATTATTTATCACGTGATGTGTTTAAGTTGTAACGTTGAGTAAAATAAAACGGTTATATGAATTGTGACTAAAATGCATAAAAATGATGTCTTCTTCGAAGACGTCATCTTGAAAGATGTCCATACTCATAAGATAGCCAACTCTGAACAAATATTTTACCTTAAACAAAACGTTACTTGGCGTTTAGTATAAATAGAATATTATTTTCGGTAAAATATCTTATATATTAGTTTCGTTGAGGACAAGTTGGGACCGAAAAGGACACTTTTACTTCAAATAAAAATACGAAAGTGTGTATTAGTAACTTCTCGGTCCTTGAGTCTTTAAGGCCATCTGTCGGACAGATGTTCGAAAGTCGGACACAACGTCATATTTCGCCAACATGCATGCTGAGCATGAGAAAACAGCCTACATTGCGCGACGCCACCATAGTTTCCCGCGAAATGACGTCTGAGAAACGAGCGCAGAAATTCCATACTGATGACGCGTCACCACCCAAATTTGGTTAGTGCTTCTGATTGGTAGTGCCGAGTGGGAAATTTTCTTCAGCCATTCAGAATCACTACCCAGATCTGGGTAGTGATGCCTCATCAGCTTGGAATTTTATTTCATTTAGTTTTCTATTTTCGCACGCCCCTGATAGAAACCAGGTTTTGTTGATCTAGGCTAGCGTGGATAAATAAAGTTGATTTTATCTTATCTTTATCTTAATGTCTGCGCTCGTTTCTCAGACGTCATTTCGCGAGAAAACTAGTGGTGTCGTCGCGAAATGACTGCTGTTTTCTCAGGCTTCTTTTACTCCGTCCCTTCTGCTTAGTTTACAGTTCCCGGATGTCAACATTCTACACTAGTACCCAGTATAGCCGAGTGCAGATTGGAAATCACGACCCTTCGAGTTCTTGATTGGACACCCTATCCACACTACTGGAAAGTCTACTGCGAAAAGGGGCGAAATTTAATTGTAAGTACACGTACCTCCTGGTCATCCTCCCTTCCAAATGTAGGAGGAATTCCAATTGCTTAGGATGGCCGGAAAAATACCGAAACTTTCCAAATCTTTGAAGTTCCTGCCAATTCAACCAAGTGACCTCACGTATCAACAGTCAATAAACATCTAAAACGGTGAGGTCAATATCCTGTATGGACCTAGGTGTCATAATAGACAGGAACTTAACTTACGATGGCACGTTAATTTGCAAAACGGCTTTCTTTGGATCAACGATCATAGGCATATTGTGAATGCTTTTGAGATATTAGACCTTGACTATTGTAACAGTATTCTCTATGGATTTAAAAAACTGAGTTGATCTTGAAGAACTACGACGTCTAATAACAGGAAGCAGTCGGCAAGAGCACATAATTGTAGTACTTGATAACCTGCAAGATTTGAGAAATGTCTGCAGTAAAAACTTGCGAGTAAGCAACTGAGGCTAAAATTTGCCAGTTATGCCACCTACACAAGAACCTGCTTCGCCGAAAGATTTAAAAGAGTTTCTTATTTGCCAAATTCTGTACACCTGGGCTGAAGGACTTCAAAATTCACGAGGTCAGTAATTTGATACGTAGATTTTACTTAAGGACTGTAAGGAATAAGCTGAATACCACATTACTAGGAGGGTCTGAATGTACTGTTGCAATTTGTAATAATCATCGCACTTTGTAATACCTGTCGCAACTTGTAATAAACCGTGTCGCACGTTGTAATAAAAAAGCTGTCGCAATTTGTAATAACTGTCCATCACACTTTGTAATAAACTAAGCTGTCGCAATTTGTATTAATTCCGTCGCACTTTGTTATAAACTTAAATTATTTTCTTTGGTCAAACATGCAAGTCTTTTCTGCCTTAATTAATCACGTGACCAACAAGAATCGCTTTTATGAAAGACATGAAACTTCCTGTGATATGCCACCAAAAAAAAGATATGAATCGTTTCATATATTTGAATTCAGAAGTATTGAATAATAATAATAATAACTTTATTTCTATAGCGCTCTTATCCTATGTTCAAGGCGCTTTACAATCATGTAAACAACATTATTGAAAAATATTTACAAATTTACTACCATATCCTAATATATTTACAATGGATAAAAAAGGAAAAATTGAAACTAAAACAACTATTAAACCATATTCATAATGATAAAAAAAAGGGAAAAAATTAAAGCTAACGCAATATATACAATAACAAAAATAACAAAAGCAACATTTATCAACAGAAAATTCATGAATAACCTGGCATTCGTCGTCCCAATCCATGTTTGCTTGTCACGTGACACGTGAAGCCTTCGGGGTGGGGGGTGGGGATAATCCCATATTCATGTATGGTCTAGGCAGGTAAGTATCGCTGAGCATCTGGAACCTTAAATAGGGTATCATTTTTTACCTTGTTTGCTTTGTTTCTTCGGTTTGATCCTTAGATAGTGTAACTCAGGTAGTAATGGATGGTTTGGTTTAATATCCTTTCCATTTTGTGGAAAAAAAAATAATAATCCTGAACACGCTCAGAAGAATTGCAAGGTCTTACAAGTCGTCCGCAGGGAAGGAGAATTTTTTACTATCCCCACGGTATTTGCTTTAGAGGGCTCCATAGCAAAAAAATTGTTTTAAAATGGAAAGATACTCCTTTTTCTCCTATATGGGACCAAATCAAGAGCGAATAATGGACCAAATGGTCAGACGGCTCAGTGTATGACCCCAAGTGAGTTTTATAAAAACAGGTACATACAAAGGTATTGGCCAGCGACTAACTGGATTTTGTGTGTTTATGTAGCTGTCGTGGTTCGACGGTTTGCCACTGGTGACGTTTTTGTTTATTTGCAGTAAATTACATTTTAAATTTTTACAGGCCTCGTCTGATTAAGTTGGCCAAAATATAGAAGCCACTATTACTTCTGTAACAATTGCATGCAAACCATCTATTACAATAGCAAGGTTTAAGAGTACAGAATTTCGTACGTCAGGTAACTAATCAACATTAATTTAAAAAAAATACTTAAATGGTTTGAATGAGCGGAGATATAAATTAGAAATTAAAGTTAATTAATTTGTAAGTTACGTGCTTGCAGACGACATCATCTTTGTTTACGAAGTACTATTTGTGACCACATTGAGACAACAACTCAAACGCGGTGAATTCCAACACTGAAAAACGGCTGTTGTTTTACTGACAAGCAGATAAGGTTGACGTAAAACTAGAAAGGAAAATACAATAGAAAGATCTTAATTACATGCGACGAGAAATGTACTAAGTAAACAAATACGAATACAAACTTAACTAGAAAATTACAACAGGCGAAATAATAAACCAAATAAAAGAGAAAACGAAAGAAAGACTAATACCTTGTGAGCCTATTATAAATTTGTCCAGAAAAACCAAAATCGATCGCTGGACTAGCGAGCGAAGTAATCTCTCTGACCGCCGAGCTAACGATCATGCAACTTAAAAAATAACGGCTTGGTCACCTGACCCCAAAAGGGCGCGAAAATTACACTACCGCGCGGTCCTGGGCTGGCTAGTAGCCACATGTCTCCCCACAGTGGGAATCCACTGTCTAAAGTAAAGTGTTCCTTACATATTTATCAAACGATTACAAGTTCTAAGACAAAGTTCCGATCAAGGAATCTGGATAAGAACCAACTTATGGACTGGTCGCTCGAGGTAATGAACAGCATCAATTCTTCGTCCTCGCTTGTCAAGACTGCGCGTGGCGATAGCAAGCTTCACCTTTCTGACAAGGCCATCTTCACTTGTAAAAGCGTCTTCAACTCTTGCCAATTTCCACATGTTCCTAGGTGCGTTCTCATCTTTAATCACGACAATGTCGCCTACAAGCATGTTACGCTGTGGTTTGACCCATTTCTTCCGGAGCTGGAGTGTTTGCAGAAATTCCTTTCTCCATCTTTCCCAAAACACGTTTGCCAAGTGCTGGACTCTTCTCCATGTCTTGCGAAGGTAGATGTCCTCTCTAACGAATAAGCCTGGGGGAGGCATCAGTACCTTACTCTTCATCGTCAACAAGTGATTTGGCGTTAGAGGTTCTGCTGAATCGGGAGACGACATGTCATTCAAGGCCAGTGGCCTAGAGTTGACTATTGCTTGGACCTCTTTCATAAGAGTACGAAAACTCTCATCGTTCAATTGGCTGCCACATTCTTCTAACAAGGGGGCAAGTACGCTCCTAACTGTCCTAATTTGACGCTCTCATGAGCCACCCATGTGGCTCGCAGAGGGGGGATTCAATTTGAAATCAACCCATTCACAGTTCTCTTTCAACAGGCTGATGCGCACTTTATCTTGATCTAACTCCTTCAAAGCTTCCTTTAGTTCTCGATGGGCGCCAATAAAATTCGTACCTTGGTCTGACCTAAGTTGGCGAATAGGACCACGTTCTGCTTGAAAGCGTCTAAGGGCGTTGATAAATGAGTCAGTTTCCAGTGTATTTGCGGTCTCGATATGAATGGCTCGAGATGACATACATGTGAACAACACGCCATACCTCTTCACGTCCTTACGACCTTCTTTCACCACAAAGGGACCAAAGTAATCTACTGCACTGTATGTAAACGGAGCTGCAGGTTCTATCCGGTATTCAGGAAGGTCGGCTAGCTTCTGGTGCTGCGGAGGAAGGCGCAGCCTTCTGCACATGACACACTTAAAAACAAAACGAGAGACGGCGGAAGTGCCACCAATTATCCAGTAACCGCGTTGACGCACTTCATTATGAGTCATTCCATAACCTTGATGCTGGGTCTCTTCATGGCAGTGTTTGAGAATAAGATAAGTGATATGAGACTTTCTAGGCAGGATAACAGGGTGTTTAACATTTTCTGATATGATAGCCCTTCTAAGGCGTCCCCCTACACGCAAAATGCCATTTGAATCCAAGAACGGATCGAGTCGGTATAAGCTACTGCATTTCTTGAGGCTGAAGTTGCGCTGCTTGGCTGTTTTCCTGTCATGGAATTCTTCACTTTCTTGCAGCGATGACAAGATCTTGATTTCGTCCTTAAAATGCTCATGCTGAAGTCAGCGAATAATTTCTATCTCCGCTTGACCACTTTCATTGACGTTCACCGGTTGGTATCTGACGACTTGCTCAGCTTCCTTTCCCTCCTTTAAACGCTGTTTAAGTCGCAAGCAAACTGCTATAGCCCTCTTTGCTCTGAACCAGTCAGAAAACCGACCCAATCGGCTAATCTCAAAATGAACTGGATGTGTCTCGTTTGTTTGTGTCACCAGTGATGCTCTCGTCACTTCGGGGTCGTCAGAATCTAATGGTTGCGGATTTTCCTCTACTTCTGTTCGATTATCACCCGGACTCCAGAGGAAGTTTGGGCCTCTAAGCCACCTGGAATCATCGTCTACAAGCTGACGAGCTGTAAGGCCTCGAGAGGCGGAATCGGCTGGATTCGACTTTGATTCAATGTACTGCCACTGTTGAGGACCGGTGTGATCATGAATCTGCTGAATGCGATTTGCCACGAAGGTGTGAAAGCGCTTAGTCTCGTTGTTGATGTAACCAATCACAACCCTGCTGTCTGTCCAAAAGAATTCTGATACGTCTTGGTAATCAAGTTCCTTCAGCAGCCATTGACTTATTTTAATGGAAACGCCAGCAGCTTGCAACTCTAATCGAGGAACTGTTATGAACTTTAACGGAGCAACACGGGCCTTTCCCATAAGAAAGGAACAGTAGGCTTGATTGTCCTTATTTAGAAGACGCAGATAGCTGCACTAACCAAACCCTGCTACGCTTGCGTCAGAGAAATGATGCACCTCCACTGCTTTAATTTCACCGAAACCCTCAGGTTTGTAACATCTAGGTATCTTGAGTTTCTCCAGCTCGTGCAACTCGTTTCGCCATCGTTTCCATTTCGGTCTAAGCTTCTCACCAATTGGGTCGTCCCAGTCGGCGTTGTTACGACATAAATCTTGTAGTATTTGTTTTCCCATCAGAATGAGGGGTGCCACAAAATCAAGTGGGTCATATACAGAACACACGGTGGACAGGATCCCTCACCTAGTAAGTGGACGATCTTGAATAACGATTCTGAACTGGAAGGTGTCTGACTCAGCACACCACATGATGCCGAGAGTTCGTTCTATTGGCAAGGGGTCACACGCGAGGTCCAATTCTTGTAATCCTTTTGCGCGATCTTCCGGGGCAACAGCCTGAATGACTTCTTTCTTATTGCTGCTCAACTTGTGTAATCTGAGGCCAGCCTTTGCACACATGGCTTGTGTGTTACGAATGAGGTCGACGGCAGTTTTAACAGATGGTACTGACTTCAATCCATCGTCTACATAAAAGTCGTTACGCACAAAGTTTGCCGCGTTCGTGCCAAACTCCATTT